CCTTTTGTGATCTCAAGAGTCAAAACCCAAGTAGCCTTTAACAGACAACAGTTTGTCAATAAGACTTTGGCATCTACCTTCAACCTAAGAAACCTTATTTGGTTTTGGTATTTTCTTCACATTTTGCTTTTTTTTTTTTTCTTCTTACAGTCTCCTCCGCTGAAATTCATGTAACAGAGCATTTTTGACACCCATAGTAAGTCAGAGATTTTTATTCCTTTTTTGATGAAAATTGGGTCATGTCATCTTCCTTTGTGTTTCAAAATCATGTTGAGTCACCATGCTGAGTTTGGTTACTTATGCTGCAAACAGCTGTACTTCAACATGCTAAATCTTAATACACATTCAATTCGGACAGTTTGGCAGCTCCAGAGAAAAACTATTCCTATCTAAATAGACAATAAAATACAAAGCTACAACAAAGAACATAGGTTTCATCATCAGTTTCAATGTTGCCATAACTGGAACATACATCTTTGGTTTGAGTCCTTTAAGTGGAACTTGACTGTTATTTAAGTAGCTGAATTTCTGTGACAAGAAGTTGAAAATCCTGAAAAATGTTAGTGTCTCTTCCCTTACACAGACTTAATCCTGTATTGGCCACTGTCATCTCCCCTCCATGCTGCAAACCATCTCCAAACAACAACAAACTATGAAACAAAAAAACACTCCAAAATTCTTTTTTCTTTAGTCTGGCCATTTGTTTTTCCCCCTATTAGGTGGCAAAAAAGGATTCATTCTTCTAGATTGGCAGACAAGCATAAATGAACAGAGAAGAGACATTAGTACGCGAACAAAAGTTACCTTCATTTTGTCTTTATCTTTTCTGCCTTAACCTCCTCAAACTAGTATATGCAACAATTGCTCTCCTGAAAGGCAAATGAAGCCCTGGAACTTAAGAATTTAGAAAAGCACATGTGCCGTGTCCTACATTCCCTTAAATAAAGTGTAAAATAAGCACATTTAGTGGCACAAGACAGTAAATTTTGAGTGTAATTAAGCTGTAAAACCTAGGGAGGTTAATTAAGCAATGAAATCCAGGAATGTGGTAGATTTTCTACCACTTACAGGTGAAACCAAAACTGTTCTGAGGAAGATATGCTATACCTTAAAACAGTTTATAGGTGCAATATGGTAATTACTAGGTAATTCTATGGATAACACGCATTTGACTATAGTGTGGTGTTACATATTGGGCCATAATGGCCTCTTCTTACCTTAAAAAAACAGATGATGAATACATTGTTACCTAAACTTTTTGCAATTTTCCCAAAGAAAACTGGATGAGAATACCTCCCACCATGAAAACAAAACTGGAGGGAGTTTCAAAATAAACCACTCTCCTGCTGTGTTTAAGAAATGCTTTGGCTCTCCTGCCAAGACAAAAACACACGAAAGTTAGTTCCCTGTTACCACAGCAAATTTCCATAGACCAGTGCATACCATTAGTGGCATGAACCAAAACTATCACATCCTCCACAAAGCTGATCATAGGAAGGAGTTCCCAGTAAACTTACCCAAAGTTAGTCTCACTCCAGTGAGACTTAACATGTTTGCTCATTTTAAATGCCTAAATTTTTTTCTCTCCTGGTTTGGACAATTTGCTCTGGACTCTGAAAAATTACATTACATGCTTTCGTTATGATGATTCAGTCATAGAATAGCTGGAGGATGGTAAGATTTCCCCGCTACAGAAAAACAACAGTTAATTACTGCCAAAAGGGAAAAATTCCTTCCTTCCTTCCCTCCTGCCCTGCTTCTCCGCTCCATATAGTGGAATCAAACTGACCTCACAATAAGCCAGTTCAAAGAGCAAACTGAGCCTTCCCACAATTCTTCATCAAGAATTGTCCACTGGCTCATTTTTCTGAACAAGCTTGCTAGAGAATCAGATAAGTAGTAGTGCGATGAACAGAGCAGAAACATACAGCTAGGTGGACAAGGTTAAGAACCTGTACTTTTCAGCAGGTATCATTAGATTGCTTACTTGCACCAAGAAATGACATTCATAGAATTACATAGCTTCATCTTCCTATTAAATAGCTAAACAAAATAAAAGCATCATCATTCTTTCTTAGGATTATTAACGCACAATATAGTAGCACACTAGATTTAAATGAAAATCTAGCAATTTGTTTTCTCCACAAGAGTTTTCAAAAGTGAAAGATACCACTTTTGTGCAAATGCATATGCTCACTATAATTACTCCTGACCAGAAAATTAAGTATATCGTTTTAAATATGAACTCACTTACACTTATATTAAGTTACTACAGCAACAGTTCTGCTTTATTTGGCACAGGTTTGGATACAATCAGCAGTACATTCAGATCCTGATCTTTACTATTTTCTTTAAAAGCAAGTGTCCAACATCTGCACATGCATGACAATTTAACTGAATCTTACTATTAATTTTTTAAATGTCTGAATTTTTTTTAGTTGCCTATCCACTTACAAGTTCTATTCCAAAACTAAATTTTGATAATGCCTACCCAGTATCAAAAAGTACATCTATGGATGCTTTGGGAACAAATTAATCTTTTAAGAATCTGGTTTT